TTGAAGGGGTGAGTGCATAAAAGTGTTATGTAACATTTTTTTTTTAAATTGGTATTTTCTTTTAAAACAATTTTTTTCGCAATATTCTTTTATTGAAAAAGACTTTTAAGTGTTGGTTTCTATTAGGAATGAAATTACCTAATGTTAAAGCCGTTATGTACAACTTGGATTGTTAAATAAACAGTGGATAAAGGTGTTAAAATATGTTTAAATAAATAAATAATAATAAATAAATGTTTTTAAAAAAGCACAAATAACACTATGTTTATTTAACTCAATTACTTTCCGACGTATTCTTGACAAAATTTTGCGAAATAATTGCGTTTTTTATTGAAAAATGTTTTAAAACGCTTGAAAAGAACATAAATTATGTCGTTTTTTATTTAGTCTGGTATATGTACTAATTTTGGTATGTTTTTTTTTATCAAGAATTAAAGAAAAAACTTTATTTTAGACTTAAAAACGCAACTAAATGTTTGAAAAAAGCAAAAATAACAACATTTTCGAATTAATTATGTGATTTTTCGGCTTATTTTGACGAAGTTTTGTGCTTTTGATTGAAAAATCTGCTAAAACGTTTGGAAAAGCAACCAGATGATTTTACTTTCGGCTCAAAAACATGCTTAAATTCTCCAAAGAAGCAAAATAATTTTAGTTTCGTGATAGTTTATTCATTTTTTACCTCATTTTCGACTAAAATTTTCAAAACAATTGCGATTCTGACTAAAAAACGTCCTAAAACGGAAAAATGGTATTTTTGAACAAAATTTTTAGCATAATCTAAAAAAGTAAAAATAACACCATTTTTGAGTAAATTTAGCGATTTGTGACGAAATAATTTTGTAAATTTTTAATTGAAAAACGTGCTAAAACGCCCAGAAAATCATAAAAAGTCATTTTCAACCCAATTTGATAATTTTTCAACATGTTTTAATAGAATCTTACAAAAAAACGTGATGTAAACAAGCAAAATTAATTATTTTTCACTTAATTTGGTGATTTTTCGCTATATTTGTGTTTAAATATTTTGAGATAATTCCGTCTCTTATTGAAAAATATGGTGTTAATATGGAAAACCGTTTTCGAAAAGTCGATGAACTAGCTTCAAAATTACACCTAGTAAACAAGAAAAAAAAATCTTTTAAATGAGAATGTTAATTTTCGGGACAGCATAAAGTGGACTTTTTTATATTGTGTCGTTAGAATTTCATTTATAAATGTTTTGTTAAATTTGAAATATTTTTATAAAGCAATAGTTATCACAAACTCTCCAAAGAAGCAAAAATAAGTTCAGTTTCGTGATAGTTTATTCATGTTTTACCTCATTTTCGACGAAAATTAAAAAAAAGCAATAATGCCTATCAATATCTGGGCATTGCTGATACTATGGTAACCATAGTAATTCCCCCACGGATCACTTGATTTATCCAGAGATTGTAAAAGTCGTTATAAATACTGAAATTCGAATTATTTTATTGTAAAAAAAAAAGAATAATGGATTTAGTTTAACACAAATGTGATTATTAAGTGATATTTCTTCCACCTCTTGTGCAACTGTGCACTTTTTGGCTACTGAAACAATAGTAATTAATTTTTTTTAAGTTTAACGTTAAATATCTTTTTAGTTATTGATTATAAACACCTAAAAGTAAATAATTTTAGAAAGACAATTTAATAATCTTTTAAATGCAAAAACAATAAATAGGGTGTCCCATTAAAATTTTTGAAGTTATTGAACTTTTAACAAACGCCTTCATATTTTATCTTTGCAAATGCAACACACTAAAAAAATGTTACAACCTTATAGCTTGTACCTTCTTCTTTGCTGCAGTAAAAAAATATTTCTAGATGTCTTAGTTTTTGTGTAATAAATTTTTAAAAAGTGCATGTTTTCGCCAAAAAAACGTCTTATTTCTAAAAAAATTATATTGGATCAATGTCCAATATATATTTTTTTAATTTTACCATTTAAAGGTCACTAATGGACACCTGTATATTTTCTCTTGTTATTTTTGCACAGTTTTGGCAATTTTTATGGTCGAATAATAACCAGTTTTCACTTCCATAAATATCCCTTGAAAAGGTACTTGATTTTAGTACCCTCTCAAAAGGAAAGTGGAAGTATGCAAAACTACCTGAGTACTTGAACCCAAGACCCAGGTATTTATTATTATCCTCCCCTGTACCTGTTTTGTCATTTTGCAGGGATGTCTGGTCTAACTGGACCCGAATCTGCGCCGGAAGTATCAGACAGCGGGGGCAGAGCCCTGAAATTGCAAACCGACACACCACACTTGGTCAACATTGGGGGCGACAGACTCAGCACCTCGGTGACGCTTCACCCAATTCCTCAAGGTAGTGGTAGAACTATTCAAAATGAATCCGTTTCTGTGTGGGATTTGTTTCTATTTTGGTTGGGGTTCCGCACATGTTTAAAACTGGAAAATGTCTGCATCCGCAGAAGAAGTGTTTATTTTAAAAACGGAAAGAAACAAATCCTGCGTTTGCTTTGTCGAATGACGCGACGGTTATGCATTGTTTTTTGTTTTTTAGGTCGGGTGACGTTAGGATGTGGTCCAGGTGTTGATATTCGAGTACAAGGGACGGGAGTCCTGCCTTTGCATTGCCATATCGAAAATAGTGAAGGTGTTGTTACCATTTATCCGCTTTCGGATAATCTCTCTGTTGATGGAGTGAAAATATCCAGACCCACTCGCCTATCTCAGGGTAAATATTTTTTTTCAACACATTTTCATTAATTAAAGCTGTCTGTTTAAATAAGTGTGATTT